ATTTCGTTGCTACTTACCATAATCCAACAGAACGGAAGTGAGCGAGACGCGCGGCATGCGTTGTCGCGCTTATTATGTATTTAGCGTATAACGTAACTCATCCGACCGCCACGGAGACTATCTAAACCCGGCGTGTACAGGGCTTAGAAGTTGCGACGACTTATGACAGAACTTTGCGAACGCTCTGTGGTTTATGCACCGAGGCCTGTGTGTCTTATCTGTATTAAGTTCCTACTGCTTCCGCGCGAAATACGGGCTTACTTCGTACACACACGCGCCCTCATAGATTTATGCGCCGGTGTGCGCCGCGTGATCATTTGATATGCTAATGCGACATGTGCGCCGAGTTTTCCGCCTCGTGATCGTCCAATTCTGGATAACTTCGCTTCCGTTTCATCCAAAGTTCTTCGCGGTCTTTCTTATGTTAACAATAGTAGATACCACGAGTGTAATGACGAGTGCTTTGCGAGGAATTAACCCTTTGTGTGTTAGTTATTTTGACAGTGACTACAGCTTTCCGAAGCTCTTGAGCACACATGCAGAGAAATATTGCATTCAGGTATTTCGTAAGTTTATTCGCAAATCTATTACAAGTCTATCATAGACATTAGAATTTGTTTAGAATCTCAATAAGTGTGACATTTCAATCACGAATATGAAATGAAAAGTTCAGTTTGTTTTACCACGTAAAGTTGAACCGATTTTTTCTTCGATAAAGTTTTATAATATTCTTGTAAAGAGAATAAATTCTTTTTAAAGACATGATTTTTTTTTAATTTGTTATGAGTGTATTTTAAGACCATTATCAAGAAAATATTCTTTGTTAAAGACAAGAGAAGCTTAAGAGAAGAGAAGTAAACTGAGTTTCGTTTTTCTTTGCAATAAAATGTACATTTTCCTATCAATCAATAAAGAAATATTTTCATTAAAAAACTGGTTTTTTTAGAATGGTAATCAAATGTTTAAAAATTGGTTTCCTTATTGTAAATTAGCATAAAAAGAATGTAAATTTTAAGGAGTCATTAATATTTAATATATTAGAACAGTTTTTTTAGCTATTCAGGTTAGAATCAGTAAAAATTCACTCAAGAAGCTTGAAAAAATTGTTAGCGTCGCCTCGTAAACGGTGAACAGTCTTTTCTGACTTCTCTCCAAATATTTCATCGACGCGTGAAACTTTTGATGGATCCTTGCGTCTCATCTCTCGTCTGCCTCAATTCCGCGTTCACCAGCGATATGAACGCTTTATGTTCACAACGCGTTTAAGTAGCGCGATCTTGTTACCTCAATGTACGATTCGTCCAGCGCGAAACTGCACACGCGGGGCAGTCCTTAAATTAGGGTGGTTGCGTTCTTCGCCGCGCGGAGGTCGGGTCCGCTTCGACGGAGATTTGCACAGTTCTCAACTTTGTGAACTGTGTGCACACAATTTGCGCGAGAGGTCGACGCACGTGGACGAGGTCGGGACGCGCAGAAATTAGAGCTTTGTTAAAAGATGAACGAGAGAAGGTGGAAGAAAGACAGAGAGAGAGAGAGAGAGAGAGAGAGAGTAAGAGAGAGAGTGAGAGGAGAAAACGAGTTCACGGTGAATGTCTCGTGGTACGTTTGCATAACTGCTTCCCCTTTGAATTAGCAGTGTGACCAGCAGCGCTTGCACCACCCCGGTCCGCCGCGACCCCAACGACAAAGTACTTTGTCGTGAGCACATAGCTCGTCCTCGAAGTTCGCCGAACGCATTAAGAAATATCGCCGGGAGTCGGAGAAATATTTCTTCGCCCGGCGAAAGTTTCGCGGTTTGTGAGTAATTACGCGAGCAAACCTCCCCCTCGCTCGTGGGAGGAAGGGCACGGGGTGCTTGTGTCGTTCCGTCGCTTACTCTCGCCGCCGCTCACCACTACCACCACCACCTCTTCGTGCTCCTCCATCTGATCTCTCCGTTTTCGCAGTTTTTCCTCTTCATTCCCGTGCTGGCCGGCCCTCTTTAGATAGTACAGCGAAATTCAGCAGTAAAACAGGTGGACAGGTAGGCGGGGGACAGGTAGGTTCGGTTGTTAAGATAATGCTCCTGCCGGTACTAACCGGAGCGGGAAAGCTCGTGAATAAAAATATAACGGTTTCTGTGTAGAACCGGACCGTTGCGCGCATAAGTTATGATCGTTGGAGGTAATCCTCAAATCGCGACACGCCCGGGATTCCATCGCGGGGCAAAAGTGTCCCCGTGTTCGACGTCAACATCCGCAACGAATGTCGGGGCAGCTTGAAAACATTTCACGCTCGTTTCGCCGTTCTCGCCCAGGTTGTTTCGGCTCGTGACGAGGTAGTGGTGGGTCACGTCGGTTGTCGACGTCGTCCTCGGCGATTTCAATCGCGCAATTTGCATCCCGATCATTTCCATGATCTTGCGTTTATCTTTCTTGAACCCATAATGAATGAGCGCATTAGAATTTTTAATTATTCTTCGGGCTCGCACAGATGAATTTTCGCCAAGCGGGGTGGAATTACAAATTCAAAATTATGGGCGCAATATGCGCGGTGGATCACTCGCGCGAAAAACAGCGTTCTGGCTTATAAGCATTAATGAGATCAATTTGTATGAATGCGCGTGTATCCAGATACGAAGATCGTAAACACGAAAGGCTTTGACGGCTATTTCTCCCCGGCGGGGCAAAAGGCAAAGCAGTGCTGCGAGGATGATTTCCTTTCTCTGACTTTATGCAAGGCCGGTTCGCGACTGCCGTTCTCTCATCGGACGTGCGTCGAAGCTCGTCGCGTAGTTGTGCGCGTAAATGTTTAACTAGGAAACGTAGTTTGCGGTAACCGTTAGTCGACAGCCGAGCATTCCGCAGTTGCCTTGTTGCCGCTAATTAACTAATTTATGAGGTTAGCTAATAACTGCAGCGCAACTAATTTATGATATATTAGCTAATAGTGAATGTTGCAAATTATATAAAGCGCCGATACGGCACAGTCAGTTGTAACTAATAAGTTCCCCAGCGTGTTCGACGAGGGAGCAATGCATAATTTGTTTCTCGTGGTAAACAGTAGTATTGTGTAACGAATGGTGCACACAATTGGCCGCGGTGAACAAAGCCGGTCTGTAAAGTCCACTAAAGATTTCCACTGTTGGTCGTGGCGTCGATCGATCATCAGACATGTAGCTCTCTCGTATCTGTGTTGCGAGCGTGGGATTAGATGTAAATTTCGCGGCTAATTATCGACTATCGAGCCGAAAACGAAACGGGAAGTGTTCGTTGCATTTTACAAGTTCATCACGCCGAACGCGAATATAGTCCTATCAACGTGGAATATAGATGAAACTCATTTATTTCCAAATATACCTCTCAAAGTGCAAAGCGCGTTATTTTTGTGTATAATCCAAGGTGCATAATCCGGGGTAATTACGGACACTTTAACGAATTCAATTAATGTTAATTATCGCCAAATATACTCATACACACACATACGTGCAATATTATAAACCTTTGATCACACGAGATATCGTATTAACGGACGCAATTAATTGTTACAAATTATTATTACGCATAATCGTCGTGGCCAATTTACCGGTCTACCCTTCATCGTTTCGTCGTCGAGCGTGCGCGTCGTTGAATGCACGGGCGAAATGTATACAACGTTTAAGGAGCATCGCGAGAAAAGAAACAGACGCGCGCAATTCCGCAGGGCGGTGTAAACCGCCTGAGCGGAGCAACGCGTCTCCAAGTAGCGCTTAAGCGCTGCTAGAGGAGCGTTACAAATCGAGGGGTAGGAAAAAGCGTTTACGAAAGTTTTCAATTACATTAGAGGCGGGCATTAAGCCCGTCTTCGACCTGCCCTGCGTACGGTTCACCTGGGATCCGCCATGGCCGCGCTCCGACTCGATCCGAGGGGATGAAACGGGTAAACTTATAAACTATGAAAGTTACTTTCCTATTCAATGAATTGACCGTGCATCCTTCGGTACGTGCCTCGAAACCATTTCACCTCTGGCGCTTTCTCTCTGTCTCTGTCTTTCCCTCTTTTCCACCCGCGTCTCTCTCTCTCTCTATTTATCTCTCTCTCTCTCCCTCCTTCTCCTCCCTCCGTCTTATTATCTATAACTTCGTGCGAGAGAGAGAGAAAGAGAGAAAGAATACGATGTCAGCAGATCGACTGGAAAATTACCAGTTTTCGTTGGAAATGCGAGCCGAAAACGCAGCGCGTGAAAAAAACGAGTTGAGAGCCGGTTGCTACGTTCTCTGACAGCCACAATTGTGTAAATCGAGTTATTTACATCGTCTGTTCTATTATCATGGTTCGCTGCTATTGTACGTACGAGAATTCAGACGAACCCCAATTGCGGGCAATCAGTAGGGATACGCGGAAGCTCCGAAACACCCTGTATACGAGAGTCTTGCGGTATCAGCAGGCAGGATCGATATAACACGTACGTGGAGACTGACTGACTGACGACAGTCATTACTACCGATAAGCCCAAACAGTCGATAATTTCGGAATGTCGATGTATAACACGCGGTCTCGTGCGGCGGAAACGCCCGAGTCGAAATTTTAGCTCCACCTTCGACCTGAATTTTCTAACATCTGTATATTCTGAAGGGTTAGTATATTTAATTCACATTTAAACTAAAATCTCACTTAGCGTCTTTAAATACAAAAAAAAAAAAATGCACAAAATGTCACTTGTAAGTTCCAAAGAGACTTATCAGCAAAGCTAGAGAGTTAAATAGAAGCAAAAGAAATTCATATAGGTTACAAAGTATGCGTTAAGTCGAATATGGAGGTCGAAAATATGGTCAAAATTTTATCTCGGGCGCGCACGTCCTGAAACGCTAGTTTGGCGTTTCCTGATGCGCCGTGAGCATCAATTTTCGTCACGTCGACGACAACGACGACGACGACGACGACGGTAACGGCGGCAGCCGCAGGAGATACAGCCTGCCGACTTTTACGACGCGTATGTAGCTACGCTCTAATGGAGATATGGTTTTGTTTCCTTGTTACAGAAGTGGAAAGGAGTGTAGGCGCAACACCGGGGGCGGCGGGTGCAGCTGCAGGGGGCTCTCGGGGGCTATCACCCTCTCCCGCCCCCTCGTCACCGTCGACCCCCGTAGCGACTAGTCCCTCTGCTTCCGCCTCTTCGACTTCGTCCTCGCCGTCGCTCTCTTCTTCTTCAGCTTCCGTCCTCGTCGCGGGACTCGATAAATCAGTGCTTCAGGTAAGCTCACTTCGCCCTCCTCACTTGTACGCGTGCGTGGAGCTGTCAGGACAATGGGATTATGTAACCGAAAAGCACACGCGGGAGACAAGGATATTACGGCCGACGTTTATTTCCTTCCCTTTACGATTTAAGCGAGTTCCTCAAATATTTCTTTCCATTTGCGAGGGTTGGTAACAATTTCGCGGTCGAGATTTCACGCTGGAGACGCGTAATTACGATTGTTCTGTGTGGAACGGTTTAGTATCGGTACGCATTCGTGCGCGCACGAAAGGTCGAAGTGTGTTTCTTTTCTTTTCATTTGAAGATTATCCTCCGCCCGCTACGGTACTTAGCTGACCTTTAATGAAGGCAGTTACTTAGCATACGTTGTATTTTAATTAGAGGACTTTGCTTATACTCCAGGCCACGTTCAATGTTAAAAGCTAAATGCCGCAAGTGCAAGCTCGACCCGCGATCCAGTTTCCTTCTTTTCATGGACGAGAGACTTTTTATTTCGCTAAATGCGCGTGGAACGCCCCTAGGGATCGCGGGAGCTCAGTAGGAACAGATAATAATTATCGGTCGGTTAACTTCGGAACCCGATCGGAAGATATCGATTTGATTACTCCGGTGTTGCTGCGCGAAGGGGACGGAAATATACGTACCCTTTACTTGAAGTGGCCAGTGTTTTTGCCGTGCGCGATAGCGTGATAGTGCTATTCTTGTTCGGGCTTGCTTTATTTTAAACCGAGTCTTTCCTCTGTTGCGATCGAAACCGGATGCAATCCTGGACGCGTGCACAACGCACCATCAGACATTTTACGTCGGACATAATGCGCGTGAAACTTGCGATGTAAAACTTCACCGAGGATGTCGCAGTTGCGACAGCGGGAGGGAAGGAGAGGGATAGACAGAGAGAGAGAGAGAGAGAGAGAGAAAGGGAGAGAGAACCTGTCCTCGGGCATCTCGGCTAATTAAAGCGCATAAATTACGCGAACGCGGGGAGAGGCTGACGAGAGAATATGGCAATGTAACGCGCGTTTCTAGTACGACAGTAAGGTCGCGTGTTCTCCAGACGAATGTCGACGGAAAATATGTTAAACGAGCCGCCCGGGAATCGCTTATTTTTCGCGAGATCCGTTTAGTCGGAAGGCAAAAAAGAATTCTCGATCCGTTCTATTTTGCAGAAACTTTGTTGGAGCGCCGGCTGACTTAGATCAACGTGCATTCGCTCGCATGCTATGTTCTCGTGCGATATAAAAATATGAGCGACGGCGCATCACGGTCGGTGAAAATACACACGCAGTCACGTTATAAGCTTGTAACGTGATTATAGTGACATTAACTCTCTCGCCCTTCAGCCGTGCGGGCTCTTTAGATCTTGTGTACTTAAACTGAAGCAAATATGCGCGCGCACTGTGAAACGGGTGAGAGGTCAAAAAAATACAGCTAAAAAGCGGGCTTTATTATCCTTGATGGAAAAGCGCGTCCTTCGTAAATGTAAATTAAAAGCAAGTAAATTAAAGCGCTTTGCGCGCAGATCGCGTTGAGCAGTCGAGCGTATTACGATATTCTATTCTGTGCACACGTCAGTAATATGGTCCCTCAAGAGTGAGGACTCTTAACTTGATTATCAAGGTGTCGACTAGATTGGATCCGCTCTCCGCAATTAGTATTCGGAGCAGTATATCTGACAAGATACTCTTCCGATATGATGCGCGCGCGCGCACTCCCCTTTCCTCTTACCAATTGATACTACGCGTTCTCGCGCGATGTAACGACTGCATTACGATCGATAGAAATATACACGCAGTCACATTATAAACTCGAGAAGCGTTACACACGGAGAGAATGTTATGTGGTTTTTCTTTCGTGTCAATTTTTTTCTATTTCATCATACTTTCTAGCAGTGAAGGAATATATTCACAGAAAAAGACGCTGTGGTGGCGACAACTATACGGATTTTGTATGCGGAATTCATGTATACAGTTTAATCAGTAATTTAAATATTCTGTAGTTGTTTTAACTAAAGCTGAATAGTTGCGAAAACTACACAATTATTATATGATTCCCATAGCCATTCAGCTGTAAATATAATTACAAAATAGTTTATTAAACTGTATACACATTAATTCTTCATATTAAACTCATATTATGCTGTGAACTTATATTGTTGTCACCATCGTGTTTCTTTTTCTCTGAGTGTAAGTTGTCACTGAGAGTCAAACTTGTTCATCTCTCACTACGAGTTATACGAATGATTTGTAGTCATTTTTATACAAACCTGATAAAATTAATAAACGTATTCTTTTTGTATTTCCTCTTTCTTTTGGCATCGCGTCCGTCTGTATTACTTGGTGTATATTCACGTTGTTCGTTGCGCAGACAAGATTTATCCTGGAGTATAATAAAACAATTTCTAACTAATTCTAGACCGAATAAATTCGTTATAATACATTCTCTCCGTTTAACAACCTAGCTCTTCCTTTTCTTGGTAGTACTGATGTAACAATTAACGAATGCGAATTCGCATCGACCCGAAGATAGAAGAAACAATCTAACGCGACAGTGGTCGCGAGTAGCAGAGAACGTAACGAAAGTTTTTGCGCGGAGATTAACATTTATTAAAAGTTCATTTTATTCACGCTTTCGGTTCGTCTTCGCGTTTACGCGCGCGTGAGTGCGCCGTCCTTTATAGAGCGGCAACAAACTTTGTTACCGCTGTTCCCTACCTTCTGGGACACAGTTCGTCATAAATTACATGCAAATCTGCGGCGAAGTAGCGGGAATACGGAAGCCGGGGGCGGATAGATACTTTTTTGTACGCAGGTGTCAAGCTGTCACGGAGTAATCGGACGATGTGCCGTGCGTGACATTTTAACTTGGCGAGTGACAAAAGCCGCCACGGCTATAAAGGATTCTGTCCTTTCGTATAACCTTATTCCCGCCCACCTATTTATCACGGGTTTGACATAGTGAGTTGGTCCTTTCCTCATCAAACCTTAATCAGGAACGAAGTTAGGACTCCGCGAATGACACTAGATTGCACCCCATTTGTCTTACGAGAGACAAACCGTCACTATTTATCAAATTTACCTCGTGTGACGTCTCGGGAAATCTCCCTCGAGATCGTTGAAAAGATCTGTTTGTTTCTTCCTAAGTCATATTGATCTCTCTGCATTCCAATATACTTACACAAAGAGATTTTTATCACAAATTACTTAAACTCAATATTTTATTAAATTTTATAATATAAAAGGATTTTTAGAATTACTGCGGAATATTTTGTAACCGAGGAATAGATCGACTGCATTTTGCAACAATCAATTGTCTTTTCATTTCATGTGTCATTTATATATTTATATATTTCCTAAATTTAAATGTGCTATTGAAAAATTTGCTGTTTTGAGCGAGATTTATTACATTTTTTAACAAGACAGATTTCACTGACAGTCTCTTTCCTGCATTATTAAAAACACAGTCAGATTGAAAAGAATTGATATAACAAAAAAAGCTCCAACATTCTCTCCGTGTATATATTATTAATTTATCTCTCGTATTATGTATTCCGAATTAATTAATTACGTTTTTACGTTAATTACGTTTTCACGAATTTTTACAAATTACTAATACTTTTTGCTTTCCTCTTGATCGCTCAATCTAAATCTAGCGAGCCTCTCAAGTACCGGCGAGCATATTGCCGCGCACAAATCTTTTACGTGAACGCGGTAAGTGGAGGACGCGCGAGCGGCGGCACAATAACGTCACTGCCGGCGGAGAGTCATCATCGGAATTGCAGATGGAGTCTTCGGGGTTTGCCTATTGTTGATGCTGCATCGGCAATAACTTCTTATCGCGTCAGCATGCCTCGCTGAGATCTCGACTCAGACTTCCAGCATTTTGTCTCCGCTCGCGCGATCTGATTGCGACGGCAAATTTCGGAAGAAACGTAATCCCGGCTGAATATTCCGCGATTGGCGGCACGAGAGTTCGGTTATCGGGGACGTGAATTAGATTTGTGCGCGCGAGCGCGGCGGTGGACATCGCCGGGGCCAGAAGTGGAAGGGTCCTGCGGCGCCCGTGCAGCCGTATAACTCGGTCAATTTTATCGAATTACACCGCCAGTTTCTCTCCCTTCGCACTCGTTCCGATCCTCATTCAGCCGCCGTCGTGTGCTCGCTCGCGCCGGCCGTGTCCTTACGACGGCGCATAACCCGCCGGCGCATTTCGCGGCATAAATACGGCAGAATAAATTAACTCAAGTTTCACTTTCGCGCGTATCCATCCCCGAGCGCCGCTACCCCTTTGACCGTCGAGAGTTCGACTCTCCCGCCGTTAGGCTAGGCGGAAATTCATCGTCTTTTACGGCATGGAAATTTAATTTAAGACCGCACTTGGCCGGCGCGTTAACTTTAATTCGGTTTCGCCTGGGTACGACGGGTAGCCATGTCGGACTACGTGATCAGCGTTTTATGCCTAGATGTTAATATCCTTGGAAGAATACACCCTCCCGGATCCCGCACGCCGCCGTCTGCCAGCGCGTTATACACCCTTATACCCTGCGGGTCCTTAAATTCGAGTATATACCTTCCTTGTTACGGCACGATATTGCTTAACGAAGCGTACCCCCGTCTTCCTGCGCCGCCACCGCCACCGCCGCTGGTGCTTCGGGCTCGCTTTTTATTATTTTCAGATAAAGCTCGAGTTAATCATCCCTGTTAATGCCAGCTTTCTTGTCGTTCTCGTCGAGCTCGCCCGTCACGAACAACGCGGAGACGTATGTTCGAGTGAGAAGGGCCGTCTCGATTTTAGAAGAGTCGCTGCTTTTTGTTTCCTTTTCTTCGTTTCTTTTTCTTTTTTCTCGTTCGTTGTTGTGCCGAGCTCTCCCGGCGCGTTTTTCCGCGCTCGCCTTTCAAGAATTTATCCTCTTTGAACTTTTACGACGCGAGCTGTCATATCCCGCGAAACGCGTCTTTCGCCCTTTCGCACGTGTCGGAGTCGCTTCCGACTGTTGCAGT